AAAAAGTGAGCGGGTTTACCCCAGTCTTCCCTACGTAATTAAAATTATTAATTAGTTTTATTTTGTATTAAATATTTTCTTTCTCTTCTAATTTATTCTTCGATTTTTCTCTTATAAATTACATATTTCTTTTGTAAAACATCATAATATTTATTTTTAATTAATTTTATAATACTTTTTCGAAATTATTCGAGTATTTATTTCCAACATTCTTATTTTTTCCAAAGTTTAAATTTTCTTTATTTCTAGCTTCATCTCTTTCTTCTATTTCCTCTCTTATCGTTTTTCTTATAGCATAGTTTTATCTTACTCACGGTGGTCTGGAAGGCGGAAAGTTCCGACCAAAAATGACGACAAAATCGACAAACGGTGATGTTTTAAGGAAGGTTTGGACATTACACATCCGTTTGATTTAAAACCCCAGCTGATCATTTAAGTGAAATATCGGGAAATAAATCTGAAATGTGTAAATTTACACCTCAATTTTTTTAAAAATGCAATTTAACAGGAAGGATTGGTACGAATATTAACGTATATCCACCTATATTACAAAAAGATATCTCCACAACCAACGCATCATTTTCAAGATTTTTTAACCTACAAGTACACGGAAAAAATTCCGGGACATTAGATGCGCCAAGGACAGTGTCAACAGCAGTACATTTTATTTTGCACGTCTGAGGTGCCATTTCGAGATATCAGACGTACTTAATGCACGTCAGATACGTCAAACTGGCACAGATGGCGTGCAAAATAAATGTAGAAGAAAATTTGACACAACCTGTACATCTGACGTGCCGATACTTTTTCCGTGTACAGGTTAAGGCTTTCAGTCAGGCCCTTTCAGTCACATTTGTCAATATATCGACCACCTTTTGAGATGGTTGAAAAAAAAATAAAAACCCACCAGATTTGCTTGGAACTTGTTACTCGGGGTTTTTTGGGATTGCTGATTACGAATCCGCTTTTACTTTTCAAACATTAAAAATAGCGGATTTAATATGGCAGACAAATTTTTTAAAAATTTGAATTTTTGAAAAGTGACATCAGATTTGATATCAGTGAAGCTAAAAATCCCTGAGTAACAAGTTTTTAGTAAATCCATTTAATTTTTAAAAATTCGTCGCGTTATTAAATCCGCACCATTTTGAATTTTAACAATTTCGCAAATCTGACCCTGTATTCGAATTTAACGACCCAAGAAACCCTATCTACAATAGAGTTTATAATGTTTTGTCGATTATTCTAATTGCGTGACTGTATGTATATATGTCTCTCTGCTCTCAAAATTTAGGCGAAGTTATGAGTACTTTAGTTCTGTAGGGCGAGGCTTCAGGTTTCATGTTCTTCATTAAAAAATCATTTGTAATTTGTTTGTTTTTAAATGTGCAATATTTTCCGATACACCATTTAAAAGAGTGATTCTTGTGCGATAAGAAATACCAATTACTAAATTTTTAAATTGCGTTTCAACGTGTAAAAATAATGCCAAACTTCAAGTATTGTGCATTTGATCTTTACTGATTGAAGCATTTTTCTGAAACTAGGCATTTTTAAAGTCCGTGTTCACTATATCTCAAAATCTACTTGACCAATTGTTCTGCAATTTTGCACACAGCTTCTTCACATAATTCCTCGGATCGAGAAAATTAAAATCATAACGAAAAAAGAAAACATTATTATGTTATGTTAAATTGAAATTATCTCGTAGATACAATATACTCTGTGAGTTTATCTTTATATGAGAGTAAGGATAAGTAAGAGAAATCTAGATCTATGTTGTGATGAACACACATTACATTTATGGCGTTGCATATATTATAGATAGGGGCAGAAAACCAAATTGCCGAATTAGGCATAGATACTGCGAAAGGTTGATAATATCTGGAAGACTCACGAAAAACTCTGAAATTAATTAGTGCTAGTAATTTTGAACAATCTATATTATTATTAATTAATTTAAATAGTAATGTTGATTGAGTTAAAAAACGACGTTCGGCAACTGTTAAGAAGTTAAATTTTTTGCAAAGTTCAATATAGTCAGAGCCTGGTAATGGTACAATTTTTATAAATTAAACGGATTTACTAAAAACTTGTTACTCAGGGATTTTTAGCTTCACTGATATCGAATCTAGTGTCACTTTTCAAAAATTCAAATTTTTAAAAAATTCGTCCGCCATATTAAATCCGCTATTTTTAATGTTTGAAAAGTAATAGCGGATTCGTAATCAGCAATCCCAGTAAACAAAAACTAATTGAAATAAATTAAAAAGAATTCACAAAGCGAGTTTCAGTGAATCCCGCTTTGTGACAAATACGAATTGGAGCTATGTTGCAATTTTCCTGAATTCGTCAAACTGTATTGAACTTCCAAACCTTCTATTCATACTAATTCAATGGACAAGTTTTGGGGCCTTTAATTTTTTTCAATTCGTCAGCACGAATTCAATGCATGCCTTGGTCATTTCTTACGAATGCGAATTCGTTTGCACAACTTCAGGCAAATTGAATCGAATTCAATCGAATATACAAAGAGCTTAAATGAATCCCGCTTTCTACCAAAAATCTTAATTCATTTCAATCCGTTTGAATTAGTTTTTTTACTGGGATCCCAAAAACCCCCGAGTAACAAGTTACAAGCAAATCTGGTGGGTTTTTATTTTTTTTATCCCACATGCACAAAAATGGCGCTTTTAGATAGCTGACGACAGGGAGTAAAGTCACTCATTTGTTCGACCATATGAAAATGGCGTCCATTTTCTCCCAAGAGGCAAACATAACAGCTGATCCTATGCGTTATTTTTGCCCATGGGAGAAAACGGCCGCCATTTTCATATAAGTCGAACAAGTGAATGACTTTTACTCCCTGTCGTCTGCTATCTGAAATCGACACTTTTGTGCATTGGGAATAAAAAATATCGTAAGAAACACGGGAATAAAGGCTTGTAGGTTAAAAAATCTTGAAAATGATTCGTTGGTTGCGGAGATATCTTTTTGTAATATAGGTGGATATACGTTAATATTCGTACCAATCCTTATTGTTAAATTGCATTTTTTAAAAAATTGAGGTGTAAATTTACACATTTCAGATTGATTTCCGGATATCTCACTTAAATGATCAGCTGGGATTTCAAATCAAACGGATGTGTAATGTCCAAACCTTCCTTAAGGGGTTATGCCACTCTAGGATTTTAAAAAAATCGATTTTTATTTTTTTGCATTAAATAGTCCCTTAGGGTATCAGAAATAACATATCGTAGTATTACGGCTAGGGAAAATCTCTAAGTAATTTATTTTCGTAGTTTCGTATTTTCGTAGCGGCGAGGTCCTTTTGTTAGCGCGCTACGGGAGGTGATCTTTGAAGGATCTAGAGCAGGTATAAGGCTACTTTTCTGTCTAAACTATAGTCTATTCTACACAATTTGGCTTCACAAACAGTATGCAAGCGTCTGTTTCAGTCAGTTAGGCATAGTCAAGCATGTCAAGAGCATATTAACTTTAAACTTTAAACGCGATTATCTGAAAACTACATTTTTCGAGTTGGCCGCACTAACAACTCGTACAATTTTCAACCGATTAAGTTCAAACTTCACAAACATCTTTGAAAATATATTTTTTAAGGCATCACGTAGGATTTTTTTTTATTTTGTATTGTTCATTTGTTACTAACAATTTACTGACGATTTTTTGGTAGAATTTAGAAAGGTTAACTTTAGAAGTGCGCCATTTGACCATAAATCAATATATCGAAAAAATCCTACGTGTTGCTTTAGCTATTGTAATGTACAATAAATAAAAAATTATATACTCAAGATATTTCAAAATTTACGGGAACAGTTGGTGCGGCCACGGACCATATGCGCCACAAAGATGTCGACGGAAAACCCCAACAGCGTCGCCATTTTTCATTAAATTATTATGAAAATTTATATTTTTAAACTTCAAAAGATGTACAATAAACTCCTCATATTCCAATTTTAATTGACTTTATAAATTCTCTGCAAAAAATTCACAAAAATGCCTATTTTTTCGGATTCTAGAGTGGCATAACCCCTTAAAACATCCCCGTTTGTCGATTTTGTCGTCATTTTTGCTCGGAACTTTCCGCCTTTCAGACCACCGTGTACTATTACAGTATCCATGAATCTTGATGTTTTCCATTTATCGTAACATTTTCCCAACAATGAATTTCGCTTTTTAGATTACATTTATAAAATATCAATCTTGATAAAAAGCGTTTCATAAAAATTTCATTAAGAATAATTGCACTCCACCAAGTAGAAAGATAAATGGTTTAATATTTCTTAGAATCTTTGTCATTAAATATTAAGCTTTGAGAAATAAAAATTAAAGAAGTAGACTTGACTTTTTAGAAGTTTTATTCTTAAAGAAACTCTTGTATATTTTTTCTATTTCAAAGAAAGTTTTCTTCAAGTGCGCGCTAAGTCAAGAGAACAGGGAGTATATATATAAAAAAGCCAAGTCGATATAAAAGTCCAGTTTTGCCGCTTTTTTTTAACTACCCATAAAAGCCCGACTTGTATAATATGTGCGTGACTTTATTGCTTGTCATATATGATCTTTCATAATCGACCACTTTATTATCCAACGTTAAGGCTTTCAACCTTAAAGCTCAAGCACGCTTTTTGTCTTCAACAATTTCTATACCAAAAAAAAGAAAATTTAATTAATAGGTATTATAATAATTCAAAGAATATTTAATAATAATTAATATTAATAAATGAATGTTATTGTACTAATAATAATAATTAGTCAAAGAATGTAAATTAGTTAAGAAATTTTTGATTTGTTAATTAAAAAGATATAACGTTTTTTAATCATAATATTAATCGAATTTAAAAAGGTTACAATCTTCTTAATTAATTTACATTTTCAATTAATGTGAATTTGTATTTTCATCCATTTCTTTTTATTTTTATTAATTTCTCATATTGATTAGATTACTTAAATTTTTAATATTAATCAATTTATTCAAACAGTAATTTCGTTTGTTTTCAAATATAAATTATATCTCTGAATTTAGTAAATGACAGATAATGACAGCAGTTTGGTTAGTTGGTTTTTTACATTCTTTACATTAATAAATCGAAAATAATTTTATTTTTGTTTGCAATCAGTAATTGTGATAACAACTAGGACAAAATATTGCTGCATAATTTTTATATTTGACATTTTAAACGAAAGGTAATTTTTTATAAACTTGAATAAAAACAGTAAAACAATGTTATCTTTCAAAATAACCCTTTTCTTCTTTTACTAGAAAATCGTCAGAATTTTACACAAAAGCATTTTATGGAAAGTTTAAATCAATCTGAATTAAAACAGAAAATTGATTTTTAAATTTGTTGAAAATTGTCGAAAAAAGTTATGACTAGTCAAACATTAAAACGTAATTGTAAAAATTTGTTCACAAATTCGGAAAGACTGTGTTCATTGGAGAGAAATATTCCAAAAATCAAACTAAGTCTAAATGATAAATCTATTGATCGTTCATTACCATCACCAAGATTGAAGGCTTTTCCACCCGAAAAGATTAAGAGGATAAATGATAACATTTCGTTACAATCGACAATAAGGGAAAATTTATTGTGCAATACGAGACAAAATATCGGTCATGGAGATGCAATCAGTAATCATGAGAAATTGACTATGATTTCAAACTCTCAATTTATTAGAAAAGAACAAAAAAATAAAAATATCGCGTATTTCCATCCTATTGAAAATGAAAATCAATCGGAAAGTATTCTCATTACGGAAAAAAATTCTCCATCCCTTTCAACTTATCGATCATTTGCTCCTAATTCTTTATCAGCATCAGCAATTCAACAATGTTCATCGAGAAATAAAGCCACGCCGAGACCAATTGTTTCCCATCTTCCAAGTCATCGCGACAATATTTCGAATTCAGAACCAAAGACTGATTCACAAAAAACAAAAATTGATCCCGAAAATACAAAAAATCCGGAAAAAATATCATCACCAGAAAATCAAGAATCCGTAATACAACATTCAGAAACTTTAAAGAAACATGAAAAAATTGGGAAAATAACCGAAAACGAGAAAATGACCAAGAATGAAGAAAATAATGAATTTATTCTCGATAATTGCGAAAATGAGACTAACTATGAGAAGCAGCCAATTGGTGGACGAATTGGTGCCACTTATCGTGAATCGTATCTAAAAGAGAATACAAATTTTCAAAAAGAATTTCCCCATAAAGAATTGAAGCAACAAGTGATGAAACAATTATCCATGTCGGCGCCAGTGTATCATCAACGTCATTCAATTGATTCGAATAATTTGTTCGATAAATGTCCAACACGATCGCAAATGGAAAATATTAAACAGGTGGATCAGCAATTACATAATTCAATTTGTCAGCAACGTGATATTGCTTTTGATCGAAATCATCATTCAATGGAGCAAAAACAGAATTCTTGTAATTTTTATAATTCGAATTTTTGCCACATAATGACTTCACCACAGGATTTTTCTTTGAATCGTCAAAAGTGTTACTATCAAAATTTGAAAATGAATTCTAATAATTTTCAAGTGCACTCTAATAATTTGACAGTAAATCCCAATAATTTCCAGGCCAATGCCAATAATTTAAAAGTCAATTCTAAAAACTTACAGGACAATCTCAAAAACTTTCAGGTGAATCCTAATAATTTTCAGATCAATCCCAATAATTTTCAGGATAATCCTAATAATTTGCAAGTCAATACTAATAATTTCCAGGTCAGTGCTAATAATTTACAAGTCAACCCTAATAAATTTCAAGACAATCTCAATTGTTATCAGGACAACTCCAATAATTCTCAGACAATTTTTAATAATAATTGTCAAGCGACTCTGAATGATAAGTTTTCACAAGATAATTATCTTTTACAAATGAATCCTAACAATCGAACACACTTCACTTCATTTTCTCTCGATTTAGTAAATCCGGAATTGAAGCAACTCCAAGCAGAGACAGAAGAAAGGCAACAAATTGTCCCAAATGATAATTATTCACACAATAATCACACAAATCACAATAAAATGACAATAAAATCAACAGATATGCAACAACGGAGTAAAATAAGTAATAAAGTTTACTACTTCACGCCACAAATGCTCAAGGATCAGGAACTACTGTTAACTACCATGCAACAGCAACAATTTTCCGAAGACATGATGATGCGACAATTTCAATTGTTGCTCAACGAACAAAAAAAACAGCTCGCTTATCTGGAGAGTTGTACTCAAACTGAAGAGAAGATTATTCGAAGAGTCAAGAACAACGTTTCGAAAAAGATTACAGCAAAAAATAGTATCGACGAGAAACCAGATTGGATGGCACACATAACACCGCCCAGGATCACTTACTGCGAAATGGAGAAAATCAAGTGCTACGGATTCGATATTCAACAATCGAATTGGAATTGTGAGAATCGTCAAGGTGTTGATGAGTCAGATCAACAGAGATGTGATGATAAGTGTCAAAATTGGAGACAATGCCAGGAGAAGCATCAGGATCGACAGAGACAGGAGTATCAGAGACATGATCAGAAATCTGAGTGTTTGACATGGAATCACCAGCAGGAGCAGAAAAATCTGTCTAACAAAAATTTTAGAGTAGAACAAAATCAATGTGGAAAATCTCAATCTGATTTTGAGCGGTATCAACATTTTCGAATGCAAAATAAAAATCGTCATCGTCATGCGGAAATGCATCATCAGAATTCGCATGTGGACCAAAAGATGCATCATCATCATCGGGGGCAGCATTGTTTACATAAACGTCATCAACAAGCAGAGTTGCAAAAACAATCAATGGCAAATCACTTCCAACAACTGGGGCATAATCAAGGGTATATTCAGCAACCTTTGATTCAGAATCAAACATCACTAATTCCGAGTCAGCAATCATTCGTACATCAACAATCGCCAAATCAGCAATCACTGATGCATCAGAAATTTGTGGTACCACAGCACCAATTACTGGTACCACAACAACAATTGATGGTAGCAGATCAGAAATCACTGGCACCACAACAATTAATGGAACCAAATCAGAAAACAATGGTACCACAGCAGCAATTGATGGTAGCAGATCAGAAATCACTAGTATTTCTTTTTTACTTTAATCTGTTTGTAACTAATTTCTTTAACAATATTCTCTTCTTCTTTCTTTACTTCTTCATCTGCTTTTTTACATTTGTTTTTTAATTTTTTATTTATTTGATAGATATTTATTTATCAATACATTTTTCCTTTAATCTTTTTTTCTATTTTTTATTCTTAAAAATATTTTTATCTTCATCGTTAATTTTTTCTTCAATTGTTTGCTTCATCAACTTATTCTTCCATTTACTTAAAATTAAAATTCTTCAACTTTTCTTTTATTATTTCCGTTTCATTTGTTTTTTAATTAATTCTCATTTTATATTTTCTTTTTCATCTATTTTTTCTTGTCATTGTAATAAATTATTTATTCATTACTAGCGCAGTCGACGGCCGCAAGCGGCCGTCTCCTTTGCCATTCTCTGCCATTTGTCAATTCAGTTCCCTGCCTAATTTTTAATTAATTACAATTTTTATTTTTTCTTTGTGTGTTTAATATACAATTAAACTTACACAAACATATAAGCGTAAGGCATACGAAACTGGTGAACGCTAAGCAATAAATAGGGCTAAGCATTAAAAAATCTTTAACTGTTCTACGACATTTCTAAATTTAGTTTGCTACCTAATTTTGAATTAATTCTAATTCTAATAACTTCAATTTCTTTACATTTAAATTAGATTTAAACTCTTGCTATGTTATAATTATATTCTTTGTTACTATTATTAATAATTATTTATTATTTTAAATAATATTGATTTCTATTTATTTATTCTAATTGCTTTTTTTTAATAAACATAAATTAATGTAAAAATATATACCATTTGTCTAGTTTTAATTATTTGATGCTGAATTAGAATTTATGTTGATTGTTATTTATAATATTAAAAAAACGTTAATTTAATTTTCTTAATTACTTTTAATTAAAAAATAAATAAAAATAAATATATATTTTTTATCAATTTCAAAAAAGGATATCAGCATTTTAAAAGTTAGCGCTAACAATTGGACGACCGCAGCTCCATCTGCAACATGCACTTTGCTTATGAGTATGACTTTCTCCAATGCTTTTTTCCAAATCGCGCTGCGAGTTCTCTTCGATATTCGACCTTGCCCATGCCTTCATGCTTTTTTTGTTAGGATCGTTTTGAGTAGATGTTAACATTTTGATGCCTTTTAGTTATCGTGTGCCGCCTGGGAATATTGATTTATTTTCTCACTTAAAAAAAGAAAGAGACAGTTTAAATTTGAAAGTTAACGCCAAAAATAATTGTCCAACTGCAGTGCCATCTACAACATGACTTTTTTCTTGCTATAGCATGCGTTTCTCATGTTTATGTTTAATGCTTCTCAATTCGAGTGTCATCGGTTGTTTCGATATTCGATACTCTCCATGACTTCATGCTTTTTTTTAGTAGGAATACATTGTTTTCTATTTTTTATCTACTTTTAATATAGTTATCGATACATTTATTTATAATAAATTATTTTACAACAGCAATTGATGGTACCATATCAGAAATCAGAGGTAACAGAACAGCAGTTAATGGTACCACATCAGAAATCATTTGTGCCATACCATAAATCGTTGATACCGTACCAGCAATCATTGATACCAAATCAAAAATCACTATTACCATGTCAGCAATCATCTTTACATCATCAACCTTTGGTACAACATCAGCATTCATTGGTTGCGGCACCGCTTCAGCAACAGACATGTCAGTTGCATTCAAATGATCAAAACTATTACAGACTGGATCAAAAATTCACTCCGTATTCATCACTTCTACAAAGATCTGATGAAAATTGTTTAGTTGGAGAAAATTTAAAAACATTGGAAAATTCCAGTTTGTTGCGACTTCGTTACCACAAGCAAATTGTACAACCACAGCAACGAAACAATGGTCTGCAGGATCCGGAAATAATAAAGGAGGCACTAGAGGCATTAGAGAAACCTAATCAAAAAAGAGGACTCGAGTACTTGACGAATTTGAATAAAAAAATTCCAGTTATTAAACTAAATGGCGCTCAAGAACCGCAACTAATTCCTCAGGAATTTTTACATCAACCACTTTGTCAAGAAACAGAAAAAAATGTATCCGCCAATGGTTTGGAGAATCAACGAAATCCGAGTAATCCAGTGCCACCTATAAAAATGAGAAATTTTGATAACGAATTAACAGAATATCCTCGATCTAAGAAACAATGTTTTGTCAATATTAAGGAAAAGGTGATTGATATTTTTAAAACTAATATGCCCCTAAAGTTCTAAAGGTTCAATCCTGTCTTTCATTGCACATAAACCAATACCCTAGATTACAAAACTCATTCACCTCTTCCACGCATTTTCCATTCATTTTCCATATCGTCTCTTCCATATCCTTTTTTTCTAAGCCTCAGCACTTTCGTTTTCTCCACATTCACATTTAAATCTTTCTCTCTCACATATTTCTCAAACTCTTTCATTAATAATTTCATTCCACTTTCATCCTCAGCCATCAAAACCACATCATCCGCATATTATGTCAACGTTAAACAATATTGAACTTAGGGGGCATCCCTGCCTTAGCGCTCTACCCAAGCAGAATTCTTCCCCCATTCTGACCCCAATTTTAACCCTTTCTTCAGTATCCTCATATAGTTCTTTAATTTTCTCTTTTAATCCATCCTATATTCCTTTCTCTCTTAACACTCTGTACAAGATCCCCCTATTTACAAATAGAATTGCTGCTTTCAGATCTACAAATGTAACCACCAACTTGCCATTACTCCTCCCCAAATTCTTATTTACTAAATAATTCAAGACATATACATTGTCCATCGTCCCCATTTCCTTTCTGAAGCCAGTTTGGTTATGCGGCATGCAGCCTAGCTCCTCTACTTTTTGCTCTAGCCTTCTTCTTCCAACCTCTGCGCACACCTTATAACCAACAGTCATCAACGTCACCCCCCTATAACCCTCTACCCTTGTTTCCTATCCCCTCTTTATGATCAGTGCTATCTAATCTATCTATCTAATCCCGTTTTCCATGCCGCTTCCCCATTCCAAACCAAATTCACCAACTTCCACATTTCCTCTCTTACAACTTCCCCCCAAATTTCAAGCTTTCCCCCTCCATTCCATCTTCCCCCGCTGCCTTACCCCTTTTAAAGCTTCGAATAGCCTCGTTTACCTCTTTCCTACTTATTTCCGTCTGTACCACATCCACTTCCCTTTTCCTCCCTTCTCCTCTTATTCTGTGTCCCATCCCCCAGCTTAATTCCTTAAAATAGTTTGTCCAGTCCTCCATCCTAATTTCTTTTCTCCTTTTCCTCTCTCTATTAATTAGGTCCCATTCCCTACCCTCTTCTATTTCTTTTCCACCTCTTTAATATACTGTTTCCTTCCCTTTTCTTTTTTCTTTCTAATTAACCTCCCCTGTTTTTTATGTCTTTTATTGTACTCTCTTTTCGTCATACTACCATTCCTCCATTTCTTTATGCATTCTCTTAATTCTTTTCTACTCCTTTCACATTCTTCATCCCACCAGCCCCTTCTGAATTCTACTTTTGTTCCTCCTTTGTTTTCCATATTCCTTTTTATTTCCCCAATAATCCATTTTAACCTCTTCCATCTATAATATACCCCTCCTTCCTCCTCGGACTCGTTACTTCTCTCATTGAACTTCTTTTCAAATTCCATCAATCTTTGCGTATCCCACTTACCCATCCACTCTTTCCTGCTTGCTTCTGTTTTTCTCCTTTCCACTCCTTTCTTTATTCTCTAATTATAAAATAGTAGAATTTTTACTTATTTAATCAGTTAAATTGGTTTTAATAACGAATTTGTTAATTCTTACAAAATGTCAGAAAAAATAAAACAATTTAATTTGATAGGATTTGCTTATACTCGGAGGTTTTTGAAGTTGATTTTTGATGATTACGAATCTGAACTTTATTTAAAAAAAATTCAAAATGGTGGATCCAATATGGCTGACGAAAAAATAAAAAATCACTCGGAATTGCTTGAAACAAAGTACTTGGGAGTTTTTGGGGTCAATTTGGAATATTAAAACCAGACTTCATATTTATAATCAGAAACCCTAAAAACCCCAGAGTAACAAGTTTCAAGCAAATCCGAGTAATTTTTTTCCTTTTTCAGCCGCTATGTTGGATCCGTAATTTTAAATTTTTAAAAATAAACATCAAATTTATAATCAGCAACACCAAGAAAAAAATTTAGATAGAAATTTTTGAAAAATTCTAATAATAAACTAATCAACAATATTAATATTTTCAGGAAACTCAAATTCCCGGGACAAATTTTTCGGAAGCTATTCAATATCCGCATTATTACATTGAAAATTTAGGAGAACCGGCAATTTGTCAAAATGTTAGAGAACATGTTGTTCAATATGAAAATTTGATGACGAAAAAATTTGAAATTCAAGAACCAAGAATTATCGGTGGTTTTACTTATTTAGCGAGAAAATTAAATTCTCTTCCTTAATTCTCATATTGTTTAACTTTAAAAATTTCACTCGACAATTATAATTGTATTTCAGGGGAAGGAATGTTAGGAAATTTTTGTAAAATGTTTAAAATCTTTTGTAAAATGTATTTAACATTATTTGAAAATTTGATACGTCGAACATTATTTAATTTTTCGTCTACTTTTATTTATTGATATTTCTAATTTATTATTAATTTTTTATTCTGTCCTGTATATAACTTTTGTAAACAATAAGAAAAACTTTTCAATTGTCATGAAGTAAATTTTATATCTGTTTTTACAATTTTCTGTAAATAAATTTTATTTTTCTAGAAAAAGCAATTGTGAAGTTTTTAATTTAATTTTAATTATTGGATTTGCCACTCAAGAAGAGAATCAAAGTCAAAATGATATCATTTTCAACAATAACATTTTTTTAATTTCTACAATAATTGAACTTTTTTTAAATTAGGATTTTTTAAAAACGAAAAAAATTCATTTTAATGTTACTTTTATTTGAATTTCTAAATTGGAATTAAAAACAATTTTTACAAGAGTAGAATTTTTCTATGCATGAAAACAAAGTATTTAGTAAACAAAAAAGTTAATAGTTTCTGACAAACTTCATAGTTGAGTCTTTAAAATCAAAACTGTCAATACTTCATAGGGTGATGGAACCATTTGTCGAGGAAATAGTGAGGTTCAACATTTACACATTTTTTAATCACAATTAAGGCCATCCATGTAAATTAAAAAATATGATTTAAGTAAGAGGAGTATCTAAGCTATTATACTTGATAAAATTTCGTTAAAAAAATAAATTATATATTAAATAATTAATATAAAAGAAATTGTTTGTAAAATACCATTTGTCGGGGCTCAGATACCAATTGCTCGATTTTTTGACCCAGTTGTCGTTTTTGTTTTGTCATATAATGACAAAACAGAGATATGTAGTTTTTAGAGTTTATGTTTTTTAGAGATATTATTTTTTTAGAGATATGTAGTTCACTATTTTAAGTTCAGCTACTTATGTTTCATTTTTGATAATATTTAGTAATTTTGCTTAGTGCAATAAAATTAGTATTAAGAGTACTTTGTACGAAAGGGCACAGTCCCGTTTACTACTTAAATAAATAAATAAATAATAGAAATTAATAGAAATTAATTATATTTCATAACAAATGTTTCCAAAAAAAATAAATTTTAAATTGAAAATGATTTCTATTAAAAATTTAATTTAAAGAACATTTCTTACGTTATTAGATGATGTTTACATAAACCTAACCATATATTAATCTACGAAAATGACAGATAATATTTATGCTTACGTTTTTAATTGACAATCGAAAAATGGTGTCAAATAATAAAATATGCCAAACCCATTTCTCGAGTCAACAAATCGACAATTGGAGAGCAATCAAAATTCAGTACCAGTTACCGAGTATTAATTTTATTTAAACTAATAAATAATCATATAAAGTAATTATCAACAGTTATATACTCTTTGTTTTCTTCTGAATTTGATGGTATTAAAGAAGTTTTCTAAATATTAAAAAATATACTGTTTTTAGAAGTAAAATAACACTAGTCACATTACGAATGAAAATAGCAAATGGTGTCATTCCTCTGATTTCGTGAGTTATGCACATAAAATTATTTTTTTTAAGAAAAACAATTTAACATTACAATATAAAACATTTTTTTTTATAAATAACTTTATTAAATTGGGAATATTGTTATATTATTTTATTTTACGTATTTAATATAATTTACTATTTATGGGCATAAATAGTCACCAGGACTCGAAAACTGGTGTCGACTCGACAACTGGTTCCTTCACCCTATGTGAACGAAAGAAAAATATTCTCAAAGGAAAATGGAACAGAACGCAAAGAAATTTTGTATGCTTTCTTTGAATTCGAAAAATATTAACATTGTTGATATTTTTAAGGTTTTTGACTACAAAATTAAATCGGATCAAGCTGTAAAAAAATTGGACAAGTGCGAGTTGTACTCGCACTGCAATGGCGAGTTCCGTACACAAATATTAAAACAATACTTGCAACATTTATCGGTAATTGGTAGAATTAAAATAAACAATTAAAAAAATATATTAAAATCATTTGATAAAAAAGAATAACTAAAAAATTAAAGTATTGTATATATCTAATATTGTAAACAATAATAAGCAGAGAAACTATAATTTTGAAAATTTTGTTCCTCTGCTTATTATTGTTTACAATATTAGATATACAATACTTTAATTTTTTTTAGTTATTTCTTCTTATCAAATGATTTTAATATATTTTTTTAAATTGTTTATTTTAATTACACTAATTACCGATAAATGTTGCAAGTATTGTTTTAATATTTGTGTACGGAACCCGCCATTGCAGTGCGAGTACAACTCGCACTTGTCCAATTTTTTTTTATTTTTAGTTAAGAAATTAAAGTCAGAAAACAATCTCTCATTTATTCTCTTAAAATTTCACTCTTCCTTAAAATATTTAATGCTACGTGTTTAAACTAAAAAAAATTAAAAAAAATTTTTTTTTTGAAAAAAAAAATTTAAAAAAAATTTTTTTTCAAAAGTTTCTTAAATAAATTTTTTGTCGTCAGACTGTAATAATACACCAGGATACCAATTTCCAGCTCATTAGGTCAAATAATGTAAAAGTTAGGGAAAACAAATTTTTTTTTTAAATTTTTTAGTTTTTCCTTGACAACGCTATGGCCATCATTACATATCAAGTTCTCTATATTTTTCCTGTAATATTCGAGTAAAAATACACTAGCATGCAAAATTCCAGCTCTCCATGTCGAATAGTTTAGAAGTTAAGGGGGGGGGGAGGAATGGTCACTTTTTATGCATTTTTGGCCAAAAATCTTGTTACTTCCTTGACAACGCTATGCCCATCACGTCCAATCACATTCGCTATATTTTTCCTGTAATCTACGAGTGAAAATACATATCTGGACCAAATTTGAGCTCTTTAGGTCAAATAGTTTAGCCGCTAGGGGGGGACACGATTTGGCTACGGACAACAGAGTCTCACTAATAGGGTTCCGACGATACACGGTAGGTGTACGGAACCCTAAAAATGAAGATGAAATTGCTCCGGTAGAGATGCAGTGTATAAAATTTAAGAACCGCAATAAAATTATTAAGTGAAATGTTTACTTTTTAAACGATAATTTATTTTTAACATATTATTATTAATGCTGATGGAAATCAAAGTGAATATTAAGGCACAAAAGTAATGTTTTATAAACTAAAGACAAATTTAATAAAAAGTAAAATATCAATAAAATCAAATTCTCAAAGGCACAAAATAATTTATTTTTAATAATTATTATTATATTTATATAAATATTGATTAAATTTTTTAATTTTGTATCTATATAGGGTTTTACGTCAATTTGTATATTAAATTAATAAATAGAAAATATAATATAACAATATTTTAAAAAAAGTAATACATAATTTTAAATAAAACACTATATAATGGAAAATAGAATAAAAATTGAAAAAATGTATTAAATTTTCAGAGCTTTTTTTCTCCATCTGAATATGTAATGCAAATGTCAATGACCACTGAACAAAGAATGAATTATTTGATAAAATATTGCCAAAAGATTGACACTAATTTCATATTAAATGAACGAAAATCAATTTCTTTCCAAGTTATACCAAGTATTCTAATATTTCAACAAATGCAGACCAATAAAATATATTCTATCTGCTTTCTTATTCAAAATATATCCAAGGTATGTATTTTTTTAAATTTCATGAAAAATATCATATTTAGTTCATTCCTTCCAAGTAGTATAGAATTATATTAATAAATACGATTGGAATTAGAATAAATAAATAAATAACTATTCTAAATGAAACAATTGTAATTAAATAGTTAAATAAATGAAAGATTCATAATTTAATTATAATTAAGTAATTCCTTATTATTGTATCTTTTATTTTATTTTTAATAATATGTTTATTTATTTCAATAATATATACGCGGCTTAGCTCTAAAAAATCAATTTTGAGTTTTTTATGCTAATCGATAGATATTATATAATTTTTTCAAATGTCCGTTAACTCCCTAGATTTTTTACAGTGTATATTACTAAATTCAATATTATTGACTTGAACCAATTAATTTTTTATTTGATTTAAATACATTTTTTCATCGCATTATGTGAAATTAAAATGTATGTAAATAAAAATTTACCTAATAAAAAGAAATTAATTTAAATGAAAAGCCATTGGACCCAGAGCAGTTTTAGACTTACCCGATAGAATTGAAGTTCCATCTACAGCTGTAAAGATTTCATCTTCAAAAACCGTTTTAGTTCGAAATATTGGAAATATGCCAGCTATTTTCAGTCTCTATTCTCAAGAGTACGTAAAATATTTTTACACTTTTGTTTGTTTCGTTCATTTTATCGAAAATAGTAAAAAAAAAGGAAAAAAATCTTTGAATTTGGCTATATAAAAGATTTTTTTTGTATTCTCGTTTTAAAGTTACCTTTTCGTTTCGGAGAACAATTTTTTTTTATTTTTAAATACCTAGAAAATTTATTTTTAAAATAAAAACTTTTATGTCCTGTTAAACATTTTATTTTTAAATAAAAATATAGGTTTTTATATTACAAAATTCTATTTCTCTAAAAAAATGTTTTTTTTTTAATATTATTTTATTTTTGAATAAAAATTTGTTTTTTGCTAAAATTTTATTTTTTAAATAAAAATTTATTTTTGCTGTTATAAATTTTACTTTTAAGTAAATTAAAATTTATATTTAATGCGAAGATGTATTTTTAAGTAAGAATTGATATATGCTGTAAGAATTTTTATTTTTAAATTTTGGAATGTATATAAATAAATAATAATCTATATTAATAAAATCAGACTTCTGTCTGTACATTGCTCCAAACTTAAAAATTTTTATATATTTTTTTGTTTTGAGACATTAGACACAGGTGTCTGGAAGGGAAAAAAAGTTTGCCTACTGATGCCAAAACAATTCATTGTTACCCTCTGAAAAGAGAAAACTTAACCCGAAAATCGTAACTGTTCATTT